TGCTCCCGCTGCTGTTTAATGGTTTTTTAGTACTGCGCTGCTGTGAGGCAGCATCTGCAGCAGCAGCAGCCCCCGCAGCTGCTGCTGCTGCTGCTGCTCTGGGCAGGAGGAAGCCTCAGGATGAAGCTGCGCTGCCACTTTTGTGTCTTTTCAGTTTTTCTTTGTTTTTCCTTTTTAGAGTTTTCCGTTTCATTTAGAGGCCCGGGTCCCCTCCATTCGAGGGGCTGCGCGCTGCTGCCTGCTTCTTGCTGCAGCAGCAGCAGCAGCAGCAAATGGGGCCGCGGCTGCAGCGCGCGGCCGAGGGTCCCCGCTGCTTCTAGGGATGCAGCGGCCCCTGCTGCTGCTGCTGCAGGCCCCACAGCGCCTGTTCCAGCCGAAGCGCCGGCAGCACCCGCAGCTGCAGCATCACCCGCAGCTGCAGCAGCACCCCCCGCAGCAGCAGCAGCAACAGCAGCAGCAGCAGCAGCAGAACGTTTCCCGTTTCAGGCGGAAGTGAAGCGGGTGCTGGACATCATAGTGCACAGTCTGTACACCGACCGCGACGTCTTTCTGCGGGAGTTGATTTCAAATGCTGCAGACGCCTGCGACAAGAAGCGCGTGCTGCTCGAGCAGCAGCAGCAGCAGCAGCAGCAGCAGCAGCAGCAGCAGTGGCGCGGGGCGATTAGGGTCTACGCAGACAAAAGCCAGGGCACTTTGACTGTGGAAGACGACGGCATTGGAATGTCTCGAGAGGAGTTGATAGACCACTTGGGGACAATAGCGCAATCGGGGACTTACAGGTTTGCGCAGCAGCTGCAGCAGCAGCAGCAGCAGCTGCAGCAGCAGCTCGCGGCTGGCTGCGCCCCGCAAAGCGCCAGCGACCTCATCGGCCAGTTCGGGGTTGGCTTTTACTCTGCGTTTCTTGTTGCTGACAAAGTGGAGGTCATTTCTTCGAGATGGACTCCTGCTGCTGCTGCAGCAGCAGATGGTGCAGCAGCAGCAGCAGCAGCACCCGAGGTGTGGAAGTGGAGCTCGAGCTGCGGGCAGACGTTCACGGTGGAGCAGCTCGCTGCGGCAGCAGAGCAGCAGCGCTGGCAGCAGCAGCAGCAGGCGCTGCAGCGGTCGCTGCAGCAGCAGCAGGCGAAGCGCGCCGCCGCGCCCGCCGCCCCGCAGCAGCAGCAGCAGCAGCAGCAGCAGCAGCAGCAGCTGTGGACCGGCACCAGAGTCGTGCTGCACCTCCGAGAAGACTCCGATGACTATTTGGAAGACTACCGATTAAAAGAACTTTTGAAAAAGTTTTCGGAGTTTCTTCAAGTTCCGATTTACTTGCTGTCGGAGCGCGTGGAGTACGAGCGCGTGCGGGACACTGCAGCAGCAGCAGCAGCAGCAGATGCAGCAGCAGCAGCAGCAGCAAAGTTCAAAACCGTCACCCACAGATTCCAGGAGTGGATTCACCTCAACACGCAGCCCCCAATTTGGAGAAGGCCAGAAGCAACTTTGAAGGAAAAGGATTATGTAGACTTTTACAAAACCACCTTCAAGGTCTGCTGCTGCTCTTGCTGCTGCTGCTGCTGTTGCTCTTGCTGCTGCTGCTGCTCTTGCTGCTGCTGGTGCTCTTGCTGCTGCTGCTAGTGGTGCTGGTGTTGCTGCTTTTGTGGTGCTGGTGTTGCTGCTGCTATTCGTGTTGCTGCTGCTATTCGTGCTGCTGCTGCTGCTGCTGCTGCTCTGTGCGCATTGAAGGCACCATTGTGCATGTTTTTCCCTCCTTTTTCCAACCAGACCAATATTTGAAATCCTGAATTTAATTATTATCCATTATTTATTTATTATTTATTTATTATTTATTATTTAATTATTAATTATTTATTTGTTTTCAGGCTTATGATGACCCGCTGGCGTTTCTGCACATGGCCGTGGAGGGCCAAGTCTCCTTCAGAGCTCTTCTTTACGTCCCGGGCTCTTTGCCGTGGGAGCTTTCCCGCAACATGTTTGGTGAGGGTTTAGGGTTTAGGGTTTAGGGTTTAGGGTTTGGGGGGGCGTTGGGGTTTGGCTGCGAGGGTTTGGGGCCGCGGGAGTGCGGGGCTGCAGGGCTGGCACGGGAGGCGCGGTTTCGAGGGTTTAGGGTTTAGCGGGGCTTAGGGTTTAGTAGGGTTTAGGGTTTGGGGTTTAGGGTTTGGGGTTTAGGGTTTGGGGGTTTGCGCAGATGAGGACTCGCGAGGGATTCGGCTGTACGTCCGCCGCGTCTTCATCAACGACAAATTCCAAGAGGCCGTCCCAAGGCAAGCTGCTGCTGCTGCTGCTGCTGCTGCTGCTGCTGCTTCCAGATAGTGGTTTTGCTGCTGTGGGGTTCGATTGCCCAGTAGCTGTTGACCCACCTCTGCTGTTCCTTGGAGACGCCCCGCGACAAAAGGGTTTAGCGCCTAGGGTTTAGGGTTTAGGGTTTGTGTTTCAGGTGGTTGACGTTCATTCGGGGAGTTGTGGACTCAGACGATCTGCCTTTGAACGTGGGGAGGGAACTTTTGCAGAAGTCCCAAATGCTTCGTGTAGTTCACAAAAGAGTGGCAGCAAAGGCTGTTGAAATGATTCAAGCAATTAAAAGACAAGGAAATGAAAAGTGGGGAAGGTTTTGGGAGAACTACGGCAAGTACCTCAAGGTGCGGGGTGTACAGACGCCGCAGCGCCGGTGCCAAAGTTAAAGTTTTCAACTTTCGCTTTTTCCTCTATTATTTTTGCAAATTTTTTCTTTTCTTGACTTCTAATTGAATTCTTTTCAGATGTTTTGTTTGTTTTCCGCGAAACGCCGCATTTCGATGGTCAGTTGAGAAGCCGTCGCTGCAGCTTTCCACTCGGCGGTGCTTCTCTTTCTTTCTGAATGTCGAGCTGTTCTTCTCTTTCTAAAATTCCGAATAATGATCTTTTATTTCTCTTTTGGATTTGAGATTGTTTTTTCTTTTTACTTTTTATTTTGGAGCGGGAAAGGATGATTTGTGGCTCCTGAGCTCCTCCGGAGAAAATGCGGAGAATATCTTTTGCTGGAATTACCGACTGAAGCAGCTTTCTCTTTGTTTTCCTTCGGCTATTTTCATCTTTTTGACTTTTTTGGATTATTTGTGTTTTATTTATTCCTTTTTTATTGGATTTCCTTCATTTGTTCCTTTTTGCAATTCTTTCGAGTGATGATTTCGCTCCCTCTACTGAAGCCTGTCTGCTGAGGACAGTGCGACTACGGAATCGATTAACACTTTCTGACTGTCTGTCCGTTTTATTCATTTCTTTAACTCTTTTTATTTGTATTTATTTATATTTAGTTGGATTTAATTCATTTGATTCCAATTTGTTGCATTTTAATTCAGTTTATTTCCTTTCTTGTCAGTGATGATTGCCGCGTGTCAGTCGAGGCCCCCGTTGTCCCGCGTACACCCGAACCCACGCGGGAGCCGGGCCAGCCTTTGCGATGAAGGCGATTTGTCTGAGACAAGAAAAGTAGAATTTGCCAATTTGCTGCAGCTGTGGGGCCCCACAGGAGCAGCAGCAGCAGCGGGAGTGTGTGGCTGCGCTGCTGCTGCTGTGCATGCGTTTCCGTGCGAAGTCGCCGCTCTTTTCGCTCACTTGCTGCTGCTGCTGCTGCTGCTGCGCTGCAGATTGGGGCTGTTGAAGACAGAGATCAGCAGGAGGCCCTGGCCTCTTTGGTCCAACTCCATTCTTCTCATTCCAAAACTTCTTTAACAACTTTAGATGATTACATTTCCAGAATGGAGGCTCGCAACCGTTCAATAGAGTCTGGGACCTACGGGGGCCCCCCGGGGGCCCCCCAGGGGGCCCCCGCGGCTGCGGGCGTGGACGGGGGCCCCCAGGGGGTTCCCCAGGGGTGGGGGGCCCCCGGGGGGCCCCCCAGGAGGCAAAGGGCCATTTATTACTTGGCAGCGGAAAGCAGAAAGGCTGCAGAGGACAGCCCGGCTTTGGAGGGTTTGAGGGCTCGAGGGTTTGAAGTTTTGTTCGGAGTTGAGCCTTTAGATGAATTCTTTTTGGCCTCTCTAGCAGTAAACCAGTTCAAAGGCTACGCAGTTATAGACATTAATAAGGCAGACCTGCAGTTAGACGAGGCCCCGGGGCCCCC